TCACAGGCGCCTACTTTGACACCTCATCACTTACCATGACTCGTTGTTGCCTTCCTGTCAGATATTCTCTGATCCATTGCAGTGCCTTACCTGTTATGTGTGCCTGATCCTCTAGCTTTTGCATTAACCTCTTGTGAGGAACTGTGTGAAGGCCTTCTTGCAGTCCAAGAAAATGCAGTCTATCCACCCCTCTCTATCTTGTCTTACTTTCTATCACCTTGTCATAAAACTCCAGCAGGTTTGTGACACAGGATTTTCCTTCCTGAAACCGTTCTGGTTGTCGACTATACGCTTGTTTCTTTCCAGGTGCTCCACCACTCTCCTCCTGATGATCTTCATGACTTTGCATACTATACACGTTAGTGACACAGGTCTGTAGTTTAGTGCCTCGTGTCTGTCTCCTTTTTAAAAATTGGGACTACATTTGCCGTCTTCCATACCTCAGGTAGTTGCCCAGTTTCAATGGATATGTTTAAGATCTTTGTTAGTGGCACACACAGCATCTCTGCTCCCTCTCTAAGGACCCACGGAGAGATGTCAGGTCCCACCGCCTTTGAGGTATCAAGTTCACATAGCTTCTTCATCTCCTCGGTTATGTGTGAACCGCATCCAGCACTTGTTGGTGTACCTCCCTGTTCTGAATTCCTGGAATCCTACCTGTTTCCACTGTAAATACTTCTTTAAATCTCATGTTGAGCTCCTCACATACCTCTTGGTCGTTTCTTGTGAACTCCCCACCAACCTACTTCAGCCTGATTACCTGGTCCTTGACTGTTGTTTTCCTCCTGATGTGGCTATACAACAGCTTCGGGTCAGACGACTTTCGATGCTATGTCATTTTCGAATCCTACGGGTTTAGCGCTCCCCCATGATTATAATAATAATAATGTCATTTTCGTATTGTCGCTGAGCCTCCCTTCCTATCTGTGCATATTCGTTTATGGCTCTTCGGCTGATCTTTTTATTTTCCTGGGTCCTTTGTCTTTTGTACCTTTTTCATTCTCTAGTGCACCTAGTTTTTGCCTCCCTGCACCTTTGGGTGAACCAAGGACTCGTTCTGGCCTTCCCATTATTTCTGTTTCCCTTGGGAACAAATCTCTCTTCTGCCTCCTTGCATTTTGTTGTCACATAGTCCATCATTTCTTTTACTGGTTTTCGTGCCAGTTCTAGCCCACTAAACGTCTTGCAGGAAGTTCCTCATGCCTGTGTAGTCCTCCCTTCTGTAGTTTTTTTCCCACCCTCTTCCTGTTACTCTCTCCACTTGTAGCTCAACTATGTAATCAAAGCACAGAACCACATGATCACTAGCTCCAAGGGGCCTTTCATACGTGATATCCTCGATGTCCGAACTACTCAAGGTGAATACAAGGTCCAGTCTTGCTCGATCATCCTCGCCTCTCTCTCTGGCAGTGTCTCTAACATGTTGATGCATGAGGTTTTCCAGTACCACGTCCATCATCTTGGCTCTCCATGTTTCGGGACCCCATGGGGCTCTAGGTTTTCCCAGTCAATCTCCTTGTGATTGAAATCACCCATAATTAGTAACTTTGCTCCCAACATGTGAGCTCTGGCCACCTCGGCTAGTGTGTCAGTCATTGCTGTGTTGCTCTCGTCGTATTCTTCTCTTGGTCTCCTGCAGTTCTGTGGCAGCTTGTACATTACTGCAATTAATCCCTTTCGCACATTCCATCAATTCCTTCCATTTCGTCAAATCCCCACCTGTTTTTAATGAGCGGTGCAATTCCTCCTCCCCCTCTCCTCTCTCTATCTTTCCTGAGGATTTGATATCCGGGTGGAACGATTGCATCTGTTATCATCCTGGTGAGTTTCGTTTCTGTGAGTGCTGTTATGTCTGGGGATGTCTCCTTGATTTTTCCATGCCACTCCTCGCACTTATTTATTAATCTGTCTGTATTTGTGTGTGTGGGGGGAGGGGTGGAAGAAGAGGGGAGGGCAAGAAAGCTTAACTAATAAGCTTGTATCATTAAAATTCATTTGGTATTTCCTTGACAGCAGTAGCTGCAGTTTTCGAGTATAACTTACCTCCTTATCCTCCATATATATTTTTTTTCATATTGATGTTTAAAAAATTTCCTAAGGTTTGAACACTGCAAATTATACGTGAGTATATTATTCCATAAGAAGTTCAATAAAGGACTTCAGAAAAGGGTTGTAGAAAGGGCTTTAAACGTGGTTCCATATTAAGCACAACTGATAAATAAAACGTTGATTTGAAGAGCAATAAAGAATGACAGACACAGGGAGGAGAGCGTCTTGATGCAGCTGAAGAGCTCTTGATCCAAAGATTTGGACTTATCCCCTTTCCTCAGATCTAACCTATCTCGCATTCCCTAGACGCTTGGATCCACACTGATTTACCTCTTCCCTATGAATGTAATATTAATAATTATATAATACTTATGACAGCTGAAGTGAATAATACCTATTTAAACATTACAGTTATATTAAGAGTGACTAAAAATGAGTTGAAGTAACTAACCTGAAGAATAAATGATAAGTTTTGGAGTAATGTAGCAGATAGTAGGTGGGTGATGGAGGTGGTCAGCGTGGCTGGCTGCCTGACTTGCTAGTTGCTACCAACTGAGTGTACACATCCACACTAACCCACCTGCAACTCTGCTGTCTCAGTGACTGACCTTCCATCCACTACCATCTCCCCACCTTCCCCACTCCCCCCATCATCCCCACTTACACTGATGCCTACGTCGCTATTACTACCATGAAGCTTGCTTACATTCACCATCCTACCCTGGTGATGGTAGCATCAGTGTTACTGCCATAACTGTTGCATGACTACAATACCCACCATCCTACCCTGGTGATGGTAGCATCAGTGTTACTGCCATAACTGTTGCATGACTACAATACCCACCATCCTACCCTGGTGATGGTAGCATCAGTGTTACTGCTATAACTGTTGCATGACTACAATACCCACCATCCTACCCTGGTGATGGTAACATCAGTGTTACTACCACAACTGTTACTACACCACCCACCATCCTACCCTGGTGATGGTAACATCAGTGTTATCTACCACAACTGTTACTACACCACCCACCATCCTACCCTGGTGATGGTAACATCAGTGTTACTACCACAACTGTTACTACACCACCCACCATCCTACCCTGGTGATGGTAACATCAGTGTTACTACCACAACTGTTACTACACCACCCACCATCCTACCCTGGTGATGGTAACATCAGTGTTACTACCACAACTGTTACTACACCACCCACCATCCTACCCTGGTGATGGTAGCATCAGTGTTACTGCCACAACTGTTACTACACCACCCACCATCCTACCCTGGTGATGGTAACATCAGTGTTACTACCACAACTGTTACTACACCACCCACCATCCTACCCTGGTGATGGTAACATCAGTGTTACTACCACAACTGTTACTACACCACCCACCATCCTACCCTGGTGATGGTAGCATCAGTGTTTACTGCCACAACTGTTACTACACCACCCACCATCCTACCCTGGTGATGGTAACATCAGTGTTACTACCACAACTGTTACTACACCACCCACCATCCTACCCTGGTGATGGTAGCATCAGTGTTACTACCACAACTGTTACTTTACTATCACTCACCATCCTACCCTGGTGCTGATAACATCAGTGTTACTACCACAACTGTTACTACACCACCCACCATCCTACCCTGGTGATGGTAACATCAGTGTTACTACCACAACTGTTACTACACCACCCACCATCCTACCCTGGTGCTGGTAACATCAGTGTTACTACCACAACTGTTACTACAACCACCCACCATCCTACCCTGGTGATGGTAACATCAGTGTTACTAACCAAACTGTTACTATACCACCCACCATCCTACCCTGGTGATGGTAGCATCAGTGTTACTACCACAACTGTTACTACACCACCCACCATCCTACCCTGGTGATGGTAGCATCAGTGTTACTACCACAACTGTTACTTTACTATCACTCACCATCCTACCCTGGTGCTGATAACATCAGTGTTACTACCACAACTGTTACTACACCACCCACCATCCTACCCTGGTGATGGTAGCATCAGTGTTACTACCACAACTGTTACTACACACCACCATCCTACCCTGGTGATGGTAGCATCAGTGTTTTGTTAAACTACCTATAGCTGTTTTACTTTACTATCACTCACCATCCTACCCTGGTGCTGGTAACATCAGTGTTACTACCACAACTGTTACTACACCACCCACCATCCTACCCTGGTGATGGTAACATCAGTGTTACTACCACAACTGTTACTACACCACCCACCATCCTACCCTGGTGATGGTAGCATCAGTGTTACTACCACAACTGTTACTTTCCTATCACTCACCATCCTACCCTGGTGCTGGTAACATCAGTGTTACTACCACAACTGTTACTACACCACCCACCATCCTACCCTGGTGCTGGTAGCATCAGTGTTACTACCACAACTTGTTACTACCCCCACCATCCTACCCTGGTGCTGGTAACATCAGTGTTACTACCACAACTGTTACTACACCACCCACCATCCTACCCTGGTGATGGTAACATCAGTGTTACTACCACAACTGTTACTACACCACCCACCATCCTACCCTGGTGATGGTAGCATCAGTGTTACTACCACAACTGTTACTACAACCACCCACCATCCTACCCTGGTGATGGTAACATCAGTGTTACTACCACAACTGTTACTACACCACCCACCATCCTACCCTGGTGCTGGTAACATCAGTGTTACTACCACAACTGTTACTACACCACCCACCATCCTACCCTGGTGATGGTAGCATCAGTGTTACTACCACAACTGTTACTTTACTATCACTCACCATCCTACCCTGGTGCTGGTACCATTCTGGGTTACTACCATAACTGTTGACTACACCACCCACCAGTCCTACCCTGGTGCTGGTTAGACATCAGGTGTTACACCACAATCCGTTACTACACCACCCATCAACTACCTGGTGCTGTAACATCAGTGCTTACTACCACAGGTATTAGTTGTATTCACTCTACCATCACACGGTGATCTACCTATTTGGAGTCTACCATGAGTTAATTTTTGGAGCTACTGCCCCCGCCACCCAGTCCCAGACTATTCCTCTAGGTTGCTAGCTTGATCTACCAGGCTGTTGGTTGACCAGACTTCAGCAATTTCCAGATTATGGCACAACTCAGGCCGATCAGAAGTCTGACTTCAGAACATATTCAAGTGCCATTGAAGGACCGAAGCTATTTGTTCTGGTAATTTTCCTACGTACGAGGAGAGCCATGAGTCCCCTTGGCACTTATCAACTTCTCTCCAGTGCACTTGTTGCTAAACTTATTTTTTTTCAAATATATTTTCATACGTCTGCAAGCTTCTAACTTTCATATGCAATGGTTTCAAGTGTGGTCTGGGACATGTACTTACAGAATTTCCGAGGTGTAGGTTATGAATGTATCTTTCATATGTGTCAAGGTGTACAGTTACAAGGATTAGTGTGTTACCAGTAGTTCAGGATTTTCTTCTTGGATTTTTACGACAGCAGAGAAAGATCATTCAACGTTTTCAGTTCTGCAACTTTCTCCTGCCTTGAAGGGCCGCTCAGTAACTACAAGCAGTGTTGCAGCATCAGTAACTATACCTCTGTATATACCTATTTATTCTATTCATGTACTTGTGGAGCTAAAAGATTACCATATTATATATATTATTATTATTATTATATATTTTAATAATTCCAGAATACTTCCGATTTACTGAAAGTGGCCAGCTCATTGGCATGGAAAGTAAAAGTGCTAGTCATGGTCTGTAGTCATGCTCACCAACAACGCAGTCATAGTGTGATAAGGAACATGTGAGACAGTGGTATCTTTATTGTGGAAACTTACAAACATTATGTTGTTACAGACATTGTCCAGTTTTCTAGGTATTATTGTTACTTTTGTGAGGTAGTTGTCAGACAGCACTGAAGAAGAGAAGCAGCTGTACAACACATTATTACTGTGACAACGATTCGCTCTGTGTATAGCCAAACACAGAGCCAAGTGTTGTCAGCATCAAAGCTTAGTCTGCATCTATCTTTTATTCAGTGTTGTCTGCTGGAGCCTGAACAACCAGTAATTTCCACCAATCATCTAGTCATCCATTAACATGTATACTTATGTAACTATATTTTACACGTAACTCACAGAGGATCAGCTTCCAGCACTTATCACGCTAAATGGCCCACACGGGTTAATTGCTTCGCATAAAATATAATTAAGTAATTAAATTTATAGGTCTCCTGTGTTTGGCAATGACCAGCTACACCTCCCAATGTCATTATGTGAAGCAACGGGGCGGATAATTACCTTCCTACCATCACCTCTTATAGTGGAACTAGACTGGTAAATGTTGTGTAAATACCATCAAGGTGGAGCACACTTTAGGATCAATACAGTTTTGAACGTTTCACCACCAGCTGCGAACGTTTTTTTTGTCATAATAAATGTCCAGAATTGTACGAGTTTTTTATAGACATTTTGTCGGAATAACAATACCTTTTACAATAACTAAGTGACATCTAAGAGTGCAAACTTCAGACGACATTTAGACTGAATGCTGAATGTGGGTTATTTATGAATTGTTTCAGCCAAGATGATGCGACTTTTATTCTTGAGTAAATAACACTCAGATGTAGCGAATATCTTTATATACTACAACATTTTGCTCAAAGAATCACCTGATAAAGTCAAAGAGAAACACAGTATCCGACTACTATGTTTTCCTCATTTCAAACTTGATTTGCGTCATATTCCTCAGGCGCTGTATGACCCTCACCGAGTTACCACTCCGTCATGAAGTGGTAAATGTATGAGGGTGATACAATGTCTGATAAGAATGGGAAGTGTGACTCTCCAGGGTTCTCAAGTAGTGTCGACTGAGCAAATATTGTGAAGAAACTACATAGATTTCTATGAAAACTAAAGCACCTCTTTTTTTTATTAAAATATTAGGTAAGTGAAGGATGAGAGTCCATCCTTGAAACACTGGTACTCTGAGAGTTTCCAGGATACTCAGTGAAGTGTGGAAGCTTCAACTAGTTTACCAAGACACTCAGTGAAGTGTGGAAGCTTCATCTAGTTTACCAGGACACTCAGTAAAGTGTGGAAGCTTCAACTAGTTTACCAGGACACTCAGTGAAGTGTGGAAGCTTCATCTAGTTTACCAGGACACTCAGTGAAGTGTGGAAGCTTCAACTAGTTTACCAGGACACTCAGGAAGTGTGGAAGCTTCAACTAGTTTACCAGGACACTCAGTGAAGTGTGGAAGCTTCAACTAGTTTACCAAGACACTCAGTAAAGTGTGGAAGCTTCAACTAGTTTACCAAGACACTCAGTAAAGTGTGGAAGCTTCAACTAGTTTACCAGGACACTCAGTGAAGTGTGGAAGCTTCATCTAGTTTACCAAGACACTCAGTGAGTGTGGAAGCTTCAACTAGTATACCAAGACACTCAGTAAAGTGTGGAAGCTTCAACTAGTTTACCAAGACACTCAGTGAAGTGTGGAAGCTTCAACTAGTTTACCAAGACACTCAGTGAAGTGTGGAAGCTTCAACTAGTTT